TTTTTGAATCAGCTCGTTCAGCTGATTTTTCAAGTCTACCTATCATTCTGGAAGACTGGATCAAAGATCATGGAGGAACATTCAGTGGTGGGTTACGTATTATTATGAGATTTAACCACAAAGAACATTCTCTTTTTACCTACCTCTGGAAGTGCACTTCTGTTCTGCAAATGCCATCACTGTTTACATTCATCATACTTATTCAGTACAGCTCTGGAACAAAGGAAATAGCAACTCAAACAAGGTTAATTAAAATCATTAATCCTTAACATATCTTTGAGTTAATAGGAAGAATAAGAAGGTAAATTTTGAATGCAGGTAGAAAATAATAACAGATGTTTTTCATCTCATCACTGGTGTGGGACTAATATAAAATCTGAGTGCTTGCCCTGTTATCAAACGTAAAACTGAAGGAGGAAGAACATTTACTGTGACTGCCTGTCAAGCCTGGAACAGCTTACCGCTATCTATGCAGAAAATAGTGTTGCTTAATTCTTTTAGGAACTCTCTTTGGAAAAAAATTTTTGAAGAACAGCAGCTTTTAAATCATTTTTTTCTGTGATTTAGTTATACTTTTGTACTTTTAATTGATTTTATCTTTTATCTCTTGTATTTTTATTTGTTATAATCTCAGTTATGCCATAGTTTTTAACATCTTTATTGTACATAATTTTAGAGGGCCACTGGTTTGTTAGAATTTTTATACTATTTTAGTGCTACCCTCTTTAAATAAAGTCTTTACTTACTTACTTACTATTCCTTTTGAGGAAGTGATCTGGATTCCATGTTCTAATGTTCTACAACAGAGCTAACAGGAGCTCTAAGGTTTTTACTAGATTCATACATGAGTGAGTACTAGGAAGGGAATGAGAGAGAAATATGGGAGTGATATTTGCAGTAATAAGCAGTAGTGAAAATAAGACCTGAAAAAATTCAGGCCCATACAGGATTTAAACCCATGACCTCTATGATACAGGTGCGCTGCTCTACCAACTGAGTTAACAAGCCAAGTGGGGGCTAGCCATTATGCTGGTTCCAAATAAACCTGCAAAGTGACACCTTATTTTCACTACTGCTTATTTAATAAGTAGTATCATTACCTCAAAGATCATTTTCATGTTGATTTTTTTTTTCGTAGTTCACACGTATGATTTTCATATATTTACAGCTAGAATGGGAAAGATGGTAAATATTTCCATCTCAGGCATGATTTCTTTTTCAGCCAGTGAACCAGATGGGATGCATGTCATCATTGACAGACACCTTATAACAGGACAAAATGACACTTCAACACTTTCAGCCGTTCAGAATCTAATTCTTCTGTGCAATGCAAGGTAAGCAAGGATTCTTCCTTGACAGTATGTTTCATTATTAACTCAAGCTTTGAAGTAACACCAAAAATAACTCAACTTTGAAATAAAAGTGTTAAGAAGGCAGTACCTGAACTAGTGTGGCATGTGATCAGGATGCATGTGCGCAGGCTCAAAGATATTTTCAATTTTTAAGCTTGTAAGCAAGGTGACTCATGCAATTATTGGTTTTTGAGAGCCATATTTTTGAGGACTTTTTATAAATTTTTATTATTAGCAGCGTTACCGTGTTGAAGTTGTGTTGGCCGATTAAATGTGGATTTGCTTTCCAAAGGGTTTTCCATTATTGCTCAAGGACAGTAAGTTAATCTAAAAAAATGGTTAATTTTAAATTTAATTTAAAAATGAAATGTTTGACAAAAGTGGAACCCTCCTTTAATCTTAGCTGATTTTAAATGCCCAGGTTCTTACTAATTGAAGGTTTTTTTCTCATTCTTTCTTACAGACAAGGCAAGGCCAAGAGTTGAGGCTGACTAAGATGGACAGCTTAAAAAAATATACAATAACTTAGTCTGCTCAAAAATTGAATGACAGTTGATATGGTTGACATCATTGTTTCTAGGAAACTTTCCAGTTACAGAAGTTAATAAATGGGTGTATGGCTGGTAGCTCAATACAATATTATTTTTCAGAGAATGTTCTTAATTTCTTAGAAATATGTATTTCTTCAAAACCCCAGTAACTCTCAGAAGTGATTAACGAGCAACTTCTCCCTGTAATATTCATACATTATCTGCCAAGCAGGTGATGAGAATACTTAAACTTATCAGGTAATAGTTGTTATCTTGATCTAACAAAAATTTTTGCATCTACTTTACAAAGAAATGTTTAGCAGCTTGAGGGGAGGATTAAAACCCAGATCTTAGGAGTTAAAGTGGAGATAGAAGTCAAAGAACACTAAGAAGGAAAATACCTAATATTTTCAAATTTTCTAATAGATCAAATGATATGACTTGTAGATGGATGTCTCAAGACAGTCGGATTATGGAGAAAATGAATTGACTTTTAATTTACAATGGGTTTTTAAGTTTTACAGTAAGAGATACTGTTTTGTGGTGTTCTTCAAATTTTTTTTTTCTGTTGAAATTTATTTTCAAATTGACCTGACTATCTGCTAAAATTGAAAGGACAAAATGTTTGTGCTATATGATATGCAATATAAATAATTTTGTACATTCAACTGTCAGTGAAAATCCAGAGTTTTGCACCTTAACACCAGCATGTTTATTCTCCTTACTGTTCTCTAAACATTTCCTTACATGCAGGAAAGGAGAATTTGTTTAGCAATCAAGAGCTTCTTTAGTTAGTGATCATTTCCTTTATTCTCGTGATCTTCATCTTTGATTCAGGTGCGATACTGTTGGGAGAAATTAGATGTTAATCACCCTTAGGGGTTAAAGGGTTAATTATCTTCTTATTTCTTTGGTCATGTTTCTTTGGTGGTATCACAACTTTGAAGAAGACAGGAGGAGTTGTAGGTTACCAGGCCAAACACCAGTACAACTTATGCTCTGTTCACACCAATTTAAACAAGTTTCATTAAACATAGTTTTTTTAAACATGGTTTTAAACATGTTTGGCTACATGTGCCTGCAGTGTGGACAGGTAGTTTACTAAAACTAGTTGATTAAAACAAGATTAATCATGTTTAAGCTTTGGTGTGAATGGGGTATTACTTCTCAGTATCAAATGACCCAAATAACCTAGAATTTACAAACCTATAGAATACCAGAGTGAAAGGTGATGTGTGTAGGGCTTAAAAGGGTTGTGGAAGCTAAGGCAGCTCTTTTTCATTTGCTAAGAACATGAATTGAAATTATGGACTTCAACTCAGAATAAAGAAAATGAGATAAAGAGTTGTGCTTCTCAAAGAATTGAGTTTCTTGTTCTGATTTGAAGAAAAAAAGGAAAAGTTTTTACTCTAGAATATTTTCATTGGTGTCTGTTTCAAAAATTAGTGGCCATATGATAAAATGCTTTTTGACAAATGAGTATGGGTAGGCTGGATGGAAAATATTTGGCTCTCATGACACAGAGACCTCACTGAACTTGATCTGTATGTCAAAACTTTGAGCCAAATAATTTCCCATTCAGCCCTCCCACTCATTCAATAAGTAGATATTATTGGTAACACTCAAGATTGCAAACTGTTGTTATTTTATTTGTCAAACTCACTCTCACCTAAACACATTGATAGTTCAAACAGTACTCTGGCTAGATTTAAGATATGTTAATTATTAACAAAATTGACAGGCATTATTGCATTACATCTTTTAATACTGTTACAACTGATAGTTTTAATCCACAATTAAATTATTTCTTGCGTACATGTATGGTTTTCATACTAAGAGTATTGTTAAACTTGTCATAGCTTGTCATAAATCATGACTCCACTCACCCCATGATATTGAAAGAGCTAAGTTGTAACTTTACATGGGGTTTCAATACCTTTATTAATAAGCTGCTGTTGATAGTGCAATAGACAGCTGTGATGTAAAGCAAAACTCAAACACTAAAGTTTGCTCACAGGATGAACAAACGCCAGTTAGAGGTCTTGAAGCAGTGGTAGACTGCTGGTAACTGGCTTTTCTTGGAAACTCTAACCATACACCTGGCCCCAATTGTGCGAAACATGGATAATGTTATCCACTGGATAAATCTCCATCTGGTGTATAGCACAGTACATTTTGTTAACACTCATCCATTGGATAGTGTTATCCAGCCTTTACACAACTGGACCCAGGAATTACAAAGTTTGGCTACAACACTGCTAAGTTGAATACATGTACTTGAGTATCAAAATGGAATGATTACTAAATGACACCTAGGAACCCAATCAGCTTCATTCTGAAGTCATGTGTTCCACTGAAATGTTCTTTGTGAGCCTGTTTTTCTATTATTTCTATTTACACTACAGTTGCATTGTTGAAGATGCATGTGAATTGCTTATTGACCTTCTGTACAAATATTGCAATTGAAATGCACAATTATTTTCTAACAAAGTTTCCACTATCACTTAACTGTCCAGCTGATTTAACATCGAAAAAACCATATTCCATAGTTGGAACAATGATTCATGCCTGTACAAAAATTTTGTGCCATCAAATCTAAAAGACCACGACATATGTAAAGATTTGGGTTTTAAACTTGGTTTACCCTAATGTACATGGAAGTGGCTGATGTTTTTATTACCTTGAATTATTATATAACTCTACTCACTGCCAATTTAGTTTTAATTAATGACTATTTTTCATTAAATTATTTTACCCCAATTGAATATGAAACATACTGTAATTTAAACCTTGAAAACAGTACTTTGGAAATGGTCAAATTCGAACTAACAAAAATAGCTTCTAGCATGTTTTCTTTTATTAGCTCTTAAGCGCGGCATCAAATATTTATGAAATCTTGTGTCAGTTAACCACTAGATAATATCAAAAGATAGCTATTGATATTCATAAAAGATTACAACCTCTCCAGCCTTTTATGAAGGTTACAATATTTATAACCACAGATAAGAATTGTAATGAAAAGCTGCCTAAAGGCAAATCATCTACCACAATATCCTGGTTAAGAGCCCTCTGCTGACACAACATTTTGAGGGATTGAGGTTT